CTTCTCCATTTTAGTAGGAAAAAATTGGACAGAATTTCCACAGAAATTATTGAAAAAATCATTTTACTTGACTAGCTTATTTAATCATAACAATCCAGATAACCCTGTAGATAGAACTGTTGTTAAAGAATCAATCTTCAGACCAAATGATCTTTAAGAATATTTCAAAAAACAAATTATAAACAATGCTCAAGAGGAAGCTTTACCAGTTCGTGACGTTGAAGTTGAAGGGGAACGAAACTTAGGGTCAAGAATGGACTCTGAAGACGATATGGAACCGGTTCCTTCTACTAGTAAAAACCCAATTCCTTGTACTAGTAAAGGCCCAATTACCTCTTTTGAATTTCTGCTAATAGACAAGATTGCAACAGAAAATAAAGACGTGAAGAAACGCAAAAAAATTAGTAACAATACCGCTGAGATACTTACTAGAGAAGATTATTTATTACAGTTGAAGAAACAGAGCGATGAGAAGAAAAATGTTACAAAAAAGAAAATCGTTAAACAAGATTCAGAGAGCGAAATAGAAACTGAAGTTGAAGAAATAGAACACGAAATATCAAGCAGTAGCGACACCGATGAAATTAATTCTAACTCTGAAACATTTAGTAGAAAATGAACAAGAGGAGTTAAATTATAAGAAGGAACTGGAAAACCCTAAAGACGTAAAGGAGGGTAGCTGGGCTCTAGTTGAATATAAAACAACCAAAATTACGAAAAGGTATGTTGGACTTATATTGGAAGTTTCTGCAAAAGAAGATAAGCTATTGGTTAAGTTTTTAAGAAAAAAGAGAAATAATGTATTTGTTTGGCCCAATTTCTGAAGATATAGATAGTGTGTCCACTGGTGCTATACTTCCAAAATCCACTGAGGGAAGACGAAATGAAAAGATCTTTTCAGTGAAGTTTGAATATTTATAACCTTTTTTTTATTATTTTGTCTTTTTGTTACAAAACAAAGATGTTTTTTAGTTTTGTGTACGTGGTTATAAATATTTTGTTTCTTATTTATAGAGCAAATACTTATTTTGTTATAAAACAGATGTTTTTAGTTTTATGTACACACTCTTATACATAGACATTATTATTTTGTTCCTTATTTGTAGTGAAAATACTTATTTTGTTATAAGACGCAGATTTTTTTTAGTTTCATGCACAAATTAGTGCTATAGTAAGATGATTGGTTAGACGCAAAACTTTAGACCATTTTATTACTTTTAACAAATTTACAGGTTTTTTCTGAAAAAAGAAGAAATCTATCTCACAAATACCCGAATGCACTGTATCTTGTTATCAAAAAGTAAATCGACATAATTTTAAACATTTGATGTTAGTATTAATTTTTGTTCTTGAAATATTAAACCTAATTGTTGTTTTAGTAACATCTGTTTTTTCTTCTTTGGTTACTTTTGAAGAATGGAATTTTATTATTAGTATTGAATACAATTATGATCCCACGTTTATTGTTCTTTATGAAAAAACATCTTCCTACAAAATCTCAATTCTCATGTTCTAGCTACCCTAACATATCGCACCCCTGGTTCCTCAAACTCCGTTACACTTAATATAATACACTCACATTATGTAAATCACTTTACATAAAATATATCGAATAGAAATAAGAAAATATATTGCTCGATAATGATTTGCAAAAAGCATCCCCTTCTTCGCGTGTTTCCCGTTTTGTCTCGCGAAAAAAAAGGGGGATGATACCCCGAATTGGAGCACGTTAGGAGGGGATACGATTATTTAAAAATCTTTGTATATTTTCTCCATAACTGTTTTGTTTGGTAATAATTCTACAAAAAATTTCACGCTGGTTGGGGTATCATCAGGTAGAGCGGAATATTACTAAACCGCGTTGAAATTATAGAACCTATTCACAATTTTACTGTCGCTCATACATTTAATCCACAAGGTGAGGTCGTAAATAAGAACAAAAATTATAGATTTAAAAAAAAAACAATGGAAAAAAGTCAAACAAGACGAAATAATTTGTTTAAAATATTTGTCAAACAAAACAGGTAACACCAAAATTAACGGGCGGATGTAATTTCGGCCGGAAAAAGGACAGGTACCTAAAGGGGATATGTAATTTCGGCCGGAGGTTTAAGGGTTCGTTCTTATCGTATAGGTATTTTCGGCCGGAAGGAGCAGGTAAAATAAAATAAGATCTAGAATTGCTATAACATTCTTTATTAAACCAAAATCAAAGACACTATTACTTAAAAACTAGAGCTAAAAACTTACATTACATTTTTACGAACTTTGATAATGATACAGTTTTAACAAAATTAAATCTAGAAATTTTTCCAGACCGAAGCATATTTACCATATTTTCAATAAATTTTAATTTATTTCTGACTTGCTTGTCTTTTATTTTTGCTGTAATATTTAAACTTTTTATTTTTAAATATGAGTCGATCTGGAATTCTTTTAACTTTTCTATAAAAATAAATATTTAGCTAAACATTTTAAACAACCGCGTGAACTCTTTACTATCGAAACTGCCATCATGTAATATAGATGTTTTCTATCTCTTGGCCGCCCACAAAATAAGTGGTTAGTATCTTAATATTAAAAGGTCCGGTACTTTGTAATTAGGTAATCACATTGTTAAACTAATAAATATCAAATTAAGAAAGATGAATGTAAATGTTTTAACTTTTCTAAGAAATGGAAATATGAAAAGGGTAGATTATTATTTTGTAATTAGGTAATCACATTGTTAAACTAATGAAAATCAAATTAAGAAAGATGAATGTAAATGTTTTAACTTTTCTAAGAAATGGAAATATGAAAAGGGTAGATTATTATTTTCAGGTATATTCCAAAAACCTATCATAAACATTACCCTCGGCCGAAATTACCTATGCCATTAGATGGGCACTTTGCTTTTGGCAGGTAGGCGAGGGGATTACCGGCCGAAATTACGCCCGCCGAAATTAACAAGTATAGGTCATTCACTGAATTTACACCCATATCGGATAAGGAAACTGATGCACGACTGAGCCGGTCTACAGGATAATTTCGGTGGGTAGAGGGTGAATATATTTTAATTATTAAATACTTATATAGTATGTAATTATGTTTGTCCACGACTGTTCTATAAAACATTCATTATAGTACTTCCTTAAGAATAATATCTATTATTCACTGTAGGATATTTTTAACCATACGCCCATGACGTTAACCGTATTACTTAACTATAGATTCCAAAGAGTGATATGATGACCTAGGGAATTCGTTATGAGAAAACTTTTCCTCGTTTTTTTTTAATATGGAGAACAATTCGAAGAGTCAAGTTTTGGAGGAGGTACTATCATATTCAAAATGATTATATTCGCATTGCAATAATTTCCTATATTATTAGATGATTAATAATTGATAATAATACATGTATTTAAATAATAGCTGATAATCATACTTGGAAAATTTAGATGGTTTCCCAAAAGATTTGCTATGTTTGTTTAACTATTATTATTATTAATATTATTCCTGTTTTCTGACATACATTTTCAATTATTTCCTTTATTTTCATCAACTCCGTTATACCTTACAATCATTTACGTCAAACAATCAAAAATAATTGCTAACAAAATTAAATATAAAAAAATTAATGAAAAATAATTCGTCTTTCAATATTTTATTTTACTTTTTATTGATTTATACATTTATTCGTATTAGTTTTTCTTCTGTATCTTCTCTTTTGTTCTGATGATAGTAGAAAAATTAGCAAATTTTCTTGAGTATTCTAAATAATATAAATCTCCCCTCACTACACAATATTTATCCCATCCTACTTTTTATTTCTGTTTTATCTTTATGTCAAGATTGTTTTTCTTTTCAATTAAGGAATAACTATTAATTAGATATTTTTAGCAGATATATATAATTGTAAAAAAATATTTTATTTTTTAAATTATTTTTCTCGAAACAAGTGGGTAATCACTTGTCAATTACCTTTATTCAATCATAATAACAATGTGTATTTTATTTTATAATTGTATTTTTATTGGACTAATTGAATAATACTAGTTTGTGCAACAAGAGTGGATATGAACAATCCACTCGAGTTGTACAGTATATTTTTCTACTACCTACTAACGAAAATTTACAACTTTAAAAAAAATATTTTAGGTTATTAAGACAAAATAACTAATTTTAAAGTAATTTATGACTTTTACTAATTAATAAAATAAAATTAAAAAAAAATTGTTTTAATACTAGTAATTAAATTAGTTTCAAATAGTTTGATTACAATTTTGCACTGTCTAGAAGTGTTTGATTATTTATTATATAATACCATCTATTTAATTTATTGCTATAAAGAAAGCTGTTATTGCTTTTATACTATAACTAAAAATTATTAAGCTATCATATTTTATTAATAATTGATAATAATCTATTGGATACAACTTTTGATATCGAGACTATCGATAATCACAGAATAGCTTCACCCGGGCATTTACCATCGGGGTAGTAGAAGCCCACTAAATGGAAACTTACAAAAATAAAAAATGGGGACATCTAGAGGCACCTCTCGGGGACGTTATTAAACTGCAAGACTTTGATTTGAGAGGCTGGCTATCCCTAGACACCCCTAGCGACAACCAGCAGGTTTTTGATGAGTTGATTAACGGCAGGACTTTGATTAGCTGGGAAGATGACTCTCTAGACAACTCTCAGCGATGAGTTGAAGCAGCTCTCATATGTTCCTGGATGATGCAAAATTGGCCTAGTGAGGCCTAAATGATGAGGATCAAACCTACCTTACAAGCTAATGCACAAAATGTGTTGACAAAAATGTGTCATTTGACATATTAATTTATATGTTTATGCGAATGAATTTATATGTTTATAGATAAGATTAACCAGTTTAAAAATTTTACAACAGCATTGTCTGCGCATTTTTATTTTAAAAATTATAAAATAACATTTGTTTAATTCTCATTGACTTACGACTACTATTTTCTAATATAACTCTTTTTTTGTTTCAGGTAATTGATAATTCTACTTTGCGTAAGGTAACAATTAATTTAAATTTAATCGTTTCATTAAATACCCCATATATCACGCATTTTCCAACATTAATATGCACATACAAATCATAATTTTTATCATATCATTATAACGCAGCAATTAAGAAATAATTATCAATAAAATGAGAATAAATTTAGTTTGGCTTTAGAAATGTACATTCTGCGGACGTTGTTTATGATATTTATGATTTTAATAAAATAATCCAATCTGTAATAGTCTGGTTCACAAGTGCCATTTCGTCATAAACCTAGGCTGGATCACCGAAAATTATGATTTTGGTATCATTCGATTCGAAATAGCATCTAGAACAAACCATCAGTGGACAATAGGGGCCGACAAAAATTGCAAAAGTTATAAAAAATAACGTAAAAAAGAATGGTTTTGTTTTTTGAAAATATTTTAAACACTATTTGATATATTCAAAATTTGAAAAAGATCCTTAAAGAGCAGAAAATTTCCTCCCGGATCTGTATCGACAATATTTATAATTTAGAAATACGTCAACTGAATCAGAACCATAGACATCATATTATCTAAGATAGACTCGCCCTACACACTGTATACCCAATACACCTTCTGTCCGCATGTTTTACCAGACGGGGAAAGGGGAATCGTACGTCGCACATTGACGTAGTGTTTCGGGAGGGTTTATATATATTTTTAGTAAAAATTATTTAATGACCAAATCAATAACCTATGGGTCTTCGGAATCAAAGGTAAATTTAAAGAAAACATATTTAATTTATACAGGGCATTCAAAAAGTCATTTTATATATTTTCTTATAGATTAAAATAGTAGGTAGCTCAAAGTGGAAGAACATTTTTGTTAGTATTTTATTATATATATTTTTTTTAAATACATGAAGAGCAAAGAGCAAGTAAAAATATAAAGCCATTTGTTATTATTTTTAGATGGGCACTGTTTGAAAACCTTTTCTACAGGTCGAAAAAAGAATAATTATATTGCCGGACTACCTTTTTTTATGAAATAAGAAGCTATTAAAAACAGAACAATTTTATTTCAGATACATAAATATACAAATATATGATCTTTCTATTACATACCATTTGGGTTGCATGTCACGACACCTATTTTTAGAATTATTTGTGTAATGATATAATAACTCATTTAGGACAGTAATCAGCAATGATTTTATAATATCTGGACAAGGCTAAAACACATTAGCTTAAGATTATCAAGAGATACTTTATTTCTAATTTGTCCGAATAAAACAAACACTAAAGGAAGCTTCTTTTGTGACATTTCGAATGTCATTTTACTATCAATGATTACTCCTACAAATACTCTTGGTGAAGAATCTGCTCAATAGATTTATTTAGTGTTATAAGATAACTGATATTTTGTAAAGCATATTTTGGAATAAAAGACAAAATAGCTATTTGTGTATTAAGAAAGTAGCACCTTTGACAGTTGAGACAGAAAGTCTGTCGAAGAGAAAAGATTTATTTTATATTTATTCAAAAAGGAGGAAAAATACAATATCAAAACTGTTATCTCAGTTATGTAATCATCATTATCAGTATTTGTGTTTTTCCAACTGACCATAGCAACTGACCATTATTTTGTTATTGAGATGAAAAACCGTAAGAGTCGCAAATATGTACGGTTTTTCACCTAATTTCACGGGTATAATCAGCTGTACTACATTAACAGCTAGGTATCTAGTACGGTTTTTAAGCTCAATCGATGAAGAGACAAATTTTAAACGAAATGGCTTATTTTGAAATGTCAAATTTGAGACTTGTACGGTTTTCGAACTCACTGGTTCAATTGCAGAACTCTGTTTGCAGTGAATCTTTTTCTTTAAGGATTTTACTATAAAACCAGAAATATAAGCAACTACATCCTGAATGTATTCGCTCAGAAAATATATAGATAGGTAATCATGGTCACGAAGCTCATTTGTAAATTCCAAATTTTCTTTAGTGTCGGATTCGTAACATTTTAAATTTAACGCAATTTGGCTACTAGTGTTGCTACAATCCAAGATGCTGGTGCCATATAAAGCAATTGCATTGGCAGTTTTATTTGACTTTACTTCATTATGAATTAATAATTTTTTATAACAATTTTGAAACAATCTTCATGTGAGATTGTTATTGAAGCATCTGTTACGAACTGCACTAAAAAAAGTATTTTTTTCTTCTTCATTTTTCGCCTCTTCAACTACCTCTCCCAAAATTCTGTAAAATGTGATGATTACTGTATAATTTTAGAGCTTACATATAATAAAAATACCCATAATAAATACTGTATTTACTTGATAGGTATAGCATTATGTTTTAAGATGTGTCTACCACTTAAATTTTCATAAATATCTGCCATACAAAAATGGTCACAACATATACTAAGGCTTCTTTCATTTTTGTAATGTTTTCCTCCACCAAGCATAGATTTTACAGCCAAATTCTACGTTGAATAATTTTTCTAGGAAATCTGATCAGAAAATATAGAACATTATTATTTAAATAAACAATGCTAGTGCTAAATGCCTTTGCACTGTTAAATAAATTAAGCCTTATTCCCTGTATATGCCTACGTCTATGCTAACATAATCTTATTTATGAAATGACCGAATAACATTCTTATTCTGCGTATTTCGGCACACTATACATTTCCTCCCCATCGTAAAAGTCCTTAATAAAAAGTTCTGGGTTTAAATTATTCTTGAAAACTACAAAAAACCACAAAAATCAGAATAAAACTTGATCTGTCACTTTGACAACATCAGCAAAATGTCTTAGGTTGCCAAAGTTAAATGATTTATACCAAAATGTTTAATATTCCCATATGATACACATGTAAAAATAGCTACTTAAAAGTCTTAAGTGATTGCAATTAATAAAAAACTCATATTGATACTTTCAATTCTTTATTTACTTTTTTTATTAGATTGTATTAAAGGTAATAGTAACTTTTTAAATAAAAATGTAATGTATGATATTTGATGAAAGAGATCTGACAACATAGGAAGAGCGTACCGTCAAAAAAAAGTTGCGGACAAGTGTAATGTATACAAAGCGTATCTATTATCCGATATCTTTGATCAGAACCTTGATTAAAAAAAATATTTTAACTAAATAATAAAATTTGATACTATCTAAACACATGAATAAACAATAATCTCTTAACAGTAGTTTGTGCAACAAGAGTGGATATGGACAATCCACTCGAGTTGTACAGTATATTTTTTCTACGACCCACTAACGGAAATCTACAAATTAAAAAAATATTTTAGGTTATTAAGACAAAATAATTAATTTTAAAATAATTTATGACATTTACTGATTATTAAAATAAAATAAATATGAAAAATAAAAGAGTCACCAGCCGAGAATCGATCCCCGGCTTTTCGCGTGTAAGTCAACTTTTACGAATTTGGTTTTAATACTCGTAATTAAAATAGTTTCATATAGTTTGATTAAAAATTATTTTTGTTTGTTAGAATATGGTTCAAATAAAACAAATAAAAATAGAAATGCTATTATTTACGATTATTTATCGATTCTACACAAAAGTAATTCATTTTAATGTATATTTAATCTTAATAATTAAAAAATGTACTGACAATTAGCTTGACAGGATTGTCATTGAAAATTTTAAAAATATGTTACGTTTCTTTTGCTGCATAAAATAATAACAGTTATAAGTGCCTAGCTCAGCTCAGTATATGGGGTGGTTCATATACAAATTTAAAGAATATGATTATTTAACCCGGCGCCAAGTAATTTGAGCGGCGATGGAAAATTTAAAGACAATACTAAATTACTAAACTTACTCTCTTTAGTGAGACTTCTTGTGTAAGGGTAAAAATAAATAATAAGAGGTAGAATTTCAATAAAGCCAAAAAAATATATATTAACCTTTCTTCAATATTTATAATAATATTAAGATTGCCCTAAACTCTTGCAAGAGTAGCTGATTTTGGGAATCAAGACAAACGTAATCCCCAAAAATAACTCTATCCCAAAACCAGTTACACAGTTAATAATGTAGAATAACTAAACTTAAATACTATTTATAGAAAAGAAATAATAATAAAATGATTCCCACAGCGGGGTACTTATTTTAAAAGGTTCGAATTCCCTCTCAGCCAAATCCACAACAAGAAGCCTCTTGGTATTTTGTTTCAATCACAAAATTATGTTTTACAGTTCAATTGTTCTACCAGCAGTTGGAAACAATAATTTATCGTTCTTGAAATCAGAACCGGTACCCAAATAAACGTCTAAAAAAAATAGGAAAACCTTTATTTAGCATTAAAGAAAACTTTCTATTTATTATTAGTAAATTTAAATAATTTTAAATTAATGGGTAACACAAATTTTACTTTGTAATCATTGAGTACTAACCTCCTACACAGTTATTCCAAAAATAATTCCTTATTGTAGAGACGTTTTCATCAAAGTGTTCAAAACAGCTATCAAATAAATCCGTCACTCGACGTAAATAGTACAAATGCACAAAATAAATAATTTCAACCAGAAACACTTGTACTAAATTAATATTAAATTAAATCCGCCTACAGCGATTATTGGAAAATTTCCTCAAAATATATATCACTGTTATTAACCAGAGCTTTGAAATCAAAATCCCATCGATTTATCTAGAAATTTGCGTTAGACCCACGAGAATTTAATTTCGCGAGCTAAACAAAAAAACACCGCTGGCTTTTTACCGATACTGTCGTATGGTACAAGGTACTTAAAATTGTTGAATACAGTGTGATTCAATATGGATAATTTATTTTAAAATAATAAAACTTTGGTAGAACCATTGAATGTAAACGTTATTTACGTTTCAAATAATAGTAGTTGATTGTCCAAAATATGAACTGTGATTGGTGGATTTCATTTTTTTGCCGTGTTCTCACTACCTAGAATGGATATGAAATATATTCGTTCAGTTGAACGCCATGACATACTTTTTCGTTTTGTAGTCTGTGCGTAAATAAGCTAATAT